TAGAATGTTTTAGTTCATTATTAAGTGTCAATAGGTATGGGAAACCGAATGGATAGTGACGGCATACTGATGAATGAATGAATTATTTCGAGTTTTTTTGTACAAGACGCCCGATTAAGGTTGTGATGATTACCTTAGTAGTTGACCTCTGATTTCAAGAGTTATCATCTTATTAGTAGGAAGGAGATTCTACAATCCCATTATGGAGCCATTCCGTCGAGGTTTGTAACCGTTAGATCAACTATACACGACGATTACATAATGATTTAACAGTTACAAATCCCGACGGAATAGTTCCGCAACGGGACTGTAGCATTTCCCCTTATTAGGATCAACAGCTAACAAGTTTTTAGTAATCAAAACGAACATCCATTTACCTATTGCATGACTCCATTATGGAGTCATCCATAATTTTCTATACTGACACATATTCAATGCGTATTTACTGCAGGACACGTGTCAATACACAATTCAGTTAGCTACTTATCATTGTTGCATTCATCATACATAATTTCACCATAAAAATGTGAATTATTTTAATTTTTATTGTTTAAATATTAATATATTTAAGTACCCGTGTAGTACATGAATATTTTAGCTAATATTGAATGAACAAAAAAAAAACAAATATTAAGTGTTAGTAATTAAGATATTATTCACATTGATATTAACCAACTTAATGGTCATGTGAAGATTCTGATTCATTAACTTTATTGGCTTTGGGACCAAAGCTGGAAAAAACAAACAAACAAATAAATAAATGATGATTTGTGTGGGATCAAAATTCAATCCTATAAGACTAAGGTGCAATTTATAATTCTGATTCTAAATACAAGAGTTTATTTTTCTTAAATAATGAAATAGTAAGTAAACTGTTCCACTCTTCTAGTTTGTTAGATTATGTATATATTTTACATGTGAATGATTTCGGTAAAATTTGAGTTATCTTCTCTAAATTAAAGTTAATATATATCTTTGAAATATTTTTTTGTACACAAATTGTGAAAAAATAATTGTGCGAGAATATTGTGGTTGATTTTAGGAGATGTTGAATGTTCTGTTCGTGTATTTTTATTAAATTAATCTAATATCAGTTATTAATTAAAAATATAAGATACAATGGATATTAGTGTAATACTAATTTTCTATTAAAAAATTATCTAAAATAATTTTTTTTTTAGGTAAATATTAGTTATTAATTTCACTGTCCCTTTTCAAAAGGAGTGCATAATTCAAAATCCTTTAGATCAGATCAGATTCCAACTTTCTACCCTACACAAT